GCTTCTTGCTGCTTGCTGTGGAAAGTTGTTTACTTGTCGATTCTGTCATGACAATGTCAGCGATCACTCAATGGACAGGTATCATTTCAGGATTTACATCACATTCAATTTATATTTCCCCCCTCTGATATTTAGTCTTATAATTTTAGGAAAGCAACATCAGAGATGATGTGCATGAACTGTCTAACAATTCAACCGGTTGGGCCAATATGCACAACACCTTCTTGCAATGGATTATCAATGGCAAAATACTATTGCAATATTTGCAAATTTTTTGATGATGAAAGGTACAAATCTGATACTTTATCATTTTGATAAATACGATATATGATATTATAATATCTGTGGCTTGATAAGACCACAAGGGAAGTAATATTCTCAAATGAGATAGCTAGAATAATGCGCCGATAATGTTTTATTAACAATTTTGCACATAACATCAGATGAATTTTTTTCACATCAGATACAAATGATTGCTTTGATTATTAATATTTCATGAAATTTTCCATTCTCAAGATTGGATATAATTTTTATTCCCGTTCATATCTTGACTTGCATGCTGTAAAGGGCTGATAAATGGTGACTGCAAATCAGATTCATGAGTTTACTTTAAAGGGTTGATAAATGGTGACTTTGGCATTAAAGAACTGTTTTACAACAGTTCTTGACAGGGCTGAAAGTAATAGCTTGATAGCCTTCATACATGGCTGACAATAGGCAGTTCTTAGCCGACTGAAATGTTTAGGGATAAAATTCTCAGCTGCTGACATTTATGGATAAATAAAAAGGAGAGACTAATTTCTTCTCCCAGGAGGTTGTCGAGTGAGTCAGTTTTTAACTCACTCGAAATTTAGTGAACAGAATACTAAAAATCTAACTGATAATATGTTCAAGTCTGGTCACAAAATTAGACTGCCTCAGAAAGTTCAAATATAGTAACAAAATGACCAAACAAGCTTAACATATCAGCACCCACACAAAATAGCCAAAGCTCACGACTAACTACAAATCTTCAGAAAGCCAATATGGGTTATTAACTTCATCGTTTGTTCACCTTCAAGGTTCAACTGATTGGAGAATTTTGTTCTTGTGCCTTGCATAATGTTTTTTGTAGCTATCCTATTTCATTGGATTATTCCAATTGTAATGTTTTAACTCATCTGGTTTGTTTACTCTTGCCTTATAGGTTCATTTCATCAATGAAATTCATTTCTTATTTAGCTTTTTTTAAAAGTGTTCTAAAAGAACAGGAATCTAGCTAGATCCTTTTTATTATTATTTTTCTTTCCTTAAGAGTGCGCTGCACTTTTTATGTTAATTATAAACTCCTAATTTCTTGTTTTTTTTTTTTTTGGATAATTGTCACGACTGTGCACCAGGGCTGTGTATCATTGCCCATTTTGTAACTTGTGCCGTGTTGGGAAGGGTCTTGGAATTGATTTCTTCCATTGCATGATTTGCAATTGCTGCCTTGGTATAAAGCTGGAGAACCACAAGTGCCTGGAGAAAAGTTTAGAGACCAATTGTCCCATCTGTTGTGACTTCTTATTTACATCCAGTGCAACAGTCAGACCGCTACCCTGTGGTCATTACATGCATTCAGCATGCTTTCAGGTTTGAATTATTTTCTTACCGGCTTCTGGATAATTTAACTGCTCTGTTTAGTTGGTGTGCTGTTCTGTAAAATGAGTTTAGGACATTGATGTTATATGACATTCTGGTGTTTATAGGCATACACATGCAGCCATTATACCTGTCCTATTTGCAGCAAGTCCTTGGGAGATATGGCGGTAAGGGATTTGCCAATTCTTTTTGTTGATTTATTGTGCTTATTCTGCCTCACATCTTCTTATGTTTAATGTTTTTTTTTCTTGGTGGTGATTTTTTTGGTGGGGAAGGGGGTGGTTTTAATTATTTGATTCCCGTAAATTAATCCCTCAAGAAAATCTTATGAGCTAAATCTTTGAGCTATCAAAAAAGATTGACCAGGAAAATAGATACAAGCAGACAATTTTTGTTCTTATTCTCAGCTTGAACTCACCCTTTCTTTATGATTCAGGACTTTTTTTTTTTTTACTCAGTAGAATACTTGACTATTTTCTTGATTGAATTCTTGTATTTATACAACATTGGACTATGTGGAATAAAAAAGCACAGTATGAATTCTGCTAAGAAAGGCGAACATTACTGGGAAAAAATTTAGGATATACAAGAACGTGAATCAGACAAGGATTCGACAAGGTCAATAATAACCTATTCTTGCCTAGTCTATCTCCTGCTCTCTTCCTCCAAGCTTCCGCTCTTTTTCTTTCCACTCCCTTCAATCCTCTACTGTGTAATTTGTCATAATGACCTAGAATGTATATTTATATAATTAAAATTTTTAATTGCACATTTTGTTTAGTGTAAAAGATAATTGAGAATTTTTTTTCTAATTTTAACTTCAACGCGATTGCATATTTGTTGCTTAAAACTTATAGAAATTATCATTTTATGGTTAAACTTAGTACCACCATATTGTAACTATATTTTTTATGGATGGTTTGTTTACCTATGATTTCAAAACATAAAGAATTTTAAGTAGATTTTGTTGTTTATCATCCTATAAAATTAAATTATATTTTTTATATGAGAAAAACTACTTGACAGTTATAATTTCTTGTTTTTTATAATTTTAAAATAATCATTTAAACATAAATTTTAACAACCTAATGGGCAAGTATATCATGCTTTTGAAGTATTCACTAATGAAACACACCATCGTCATCTTTATATTTAAACTTTGTATGCATTGTACCTTCATCTTTTTTGGTTTGTTTGTGCGTAGGATTTTGAGTAATTCAAATTCTAATGAAGTTTAAATGAATTTCGTTGTCTATGATTTTTTTTTCTTTCTAGAAGGCTATATTTCGGCATATAAAGCAAAATTGAATAAGATTTTTCATATTGTTCTGTAATACGTTCTCAGGTTTATTTCGGCATGCTTGACGCCCTGTTGGCTACTGAGGAGCTGCCAGAAGAGTACAGGGATCGTTGCCAGGTACATTCTAATATTTCTTCTTTGTTTGGTGGTTTGGCTTTTGAGAGAGCTGGGTGGCATTATGATCAATTGTTCTTAGCCGATTATGTAACTGCTGCATCATTGCACGAAAAATAGAACCTCAACTTCTTCCTTCCCCTCGAACATGCAACAACACATACAAAAGAAGAAGTTCATCTTTAACCCTTTTACTTGGCTGAGTAATCCAGTTCTAATTTTGAAATTTTAGTTTCATCAAAGTCAACTATGGACTCAAATAAGTGGTGATATTTAAAACCTTGCATTGATTCAGTTGCTCTTTCTAGGAGATACACGTTTAGGTACTGGGGTTTCTTGAAGCTAGTCGTTGAATTATATCATAAAGATAATACGTTGAACTAATGCAACAATTCTAAAATGTTTAAAAGCTGTGATGTTTATATCATAAATTAAGGTGTTAAAAAAGTAGTCTAATGATGATGTGGAATCCAGGACATATTGTGCAATGACTGTGAGCGGAAAGGCGCATCAAGGTTTCATTGGTTGTATCATAAATGTGGGTATTGTGGATCATACAACACCCGGGTAATCAAGAACGATGCATACGCGGGCTGCCCCTCTTCCAACCAATGAGTGAGAGATTTCTTTCTTTTACGGTGACAAAAAGTAAATACACGCATCTATGGCTTTCATTTGTACATATTATATCAATTCCTCTCCACCAGGAAACTGGTTTTTTGTTACAACATCTAATACACGTTGTGCATATCAGTCTATGTACATGCCTGCCTCTTTGCTGATCCGTTTTATATGGCTTCAAGATTCATCATGCGAACTGTAAATCGAATTTACTTTCAGATGCAATGTTCATAGAACATCATCGATTTACCACTTCAATTATACTATAGATATTCTCTTTATCTTTTTATTGAGTGTTCTTCCCCCTCGTTGCATGCATTGGCATTTCCTTTTTGTTTGGAAATGATATGCTGTTTATTTTCTTCATTTTGGATTCCAAATTGTGTGTATTGATATGATTTGGAGTCCTTGCCTATTGTGTCAATTATCAGGTCCATGTAAGGTTTTGTTAGATTCTGGGTTGAAATGTATTTCCTTCCAGTTGGTCAAGTTTTAAAAGTAACTAGGCACTCAAATTTGTAAAGCGTATTTTTTCGATGCCCTATGTCACAAGTGTCGGAGATTTTGAGGATTTTTCTTGGGAAAGCATAATGTACGTATTTGGTAAAATTATTGAATGGAGCAATATTTTAAGGAAAGACTTGAGGCAAGATTATTGCTATCTTTTAAAAATTATGTTTTTATCATTATTACTTTTTAATATCATTTGTCATTCAATGAAGGTCATATTAGTAATTGGACTCCATTGTATTGGTTTCTTATTCCAATATCTTTTAGGGTAAAGTTATTATATTCCATAGTGTAACACTGTGTTGTGTATATAATTATCTAAGTCAACATGATTATTAGGGTAAAAATTAGAGGATATTATTTACAACTAATCAATTTTCTGATATAATCAAATATCATTAAATACACTTTTTTTTGGGGGGGNGGGGGGTTAAGTTTTCATGTAACCACCTAAATACTAAACTAAACTTTACTATACATTTTCTATAAAATTTTGAGCAAAAAGTGTTAAAATGACCCAAAAAAAAAAAGGGAAAGAAAACAAATTGAAATTTAAAATCTTTGTCTAAATATCTTCAAAATAGTTGGGGAGAAATGAAAAATTAGAAGATTTGTTAAAATTATCTTCTAATTTAACATCAAATTATTCATTCACATCAAAGAAAATTGTATGAATTTAAAAAATAAAAAAAATAATAAATAGTAAATAAATAACTCAATAATGTCAATGAAACAAAGATTCGGACAAAATTTAGTTTGATTTAAACATAAAAAAGTATTGAATTGTTGAAAATAAATAAATAAATAAATAATGGAGAAGGAAAGATTTGAAGTTTTAATTATTCCATAACCGTTACGAGGCAAATGTTGTTCTTCCTTATTCCCCCCGAAAAAACATAACCTTCCGACTCTGCCAACGTTTTACTCCAAGCCACGCCAAAGCCTTCACCCCTCACCTTTAAACCACCGACCCACCTCCTCTTTTCACTAAAATTTTCCCTTCTACTTCGCATAATCTGAAGCTCATGGCTATGGAGCCTGAAAGATCCAAGCCACTGCACAACTTCTCCATGCCCTATCTCACATGGGGTTCACAAAGATTCCTCAAGTGTATCAACCTTCCTTCCAACCCCACGAACTTCACCAACCTTCCTTCTCCGATGAATCATGTAACACACAAACCAAGTAACCGGAACAACCATCGAACCAGTTCCATCGAGGAATCGAAGAAACCCAAATTTTCAATCGTTGGTGAAGCGGGCGGAGACGAATCCCCTGCGGCAAGGCCGTGGAATTTGAGGACTCGCAGAGCAGCTTGTAAGGGTCCTGAAGATGAGAGGAATTTGGAATTGGGTTCATCTAAGAATGAAAAGGAGAAGAATCGGAGTGCGTTAATTGTATCCCTATCGAAAGAGGAGATCGAAGAGGACTTTGGGGTGCTGGTCGGTAGGCTACCGAGGAGGCCAAAGAAGAGGCCTAGAGCTGTACAGAAGCAATTGGATGTAAGAACATGGAATCCCAGTTGTTTCATGAGGTTTCAATGGTTTATGATTTTACTCATCATTTTGATTTTTTGCAGACGCTTTTTCCTGGGCTGTTTCTTACTCAGATTACTCCGGATTCCTATAAACTTGCTGATTAAAAGCTTCGAATTGTGTTCTGTTACAATAATGGAAGTGTAAATAATTAGCAAAATCAAATTTGAAGTAACTTTAAATTTTGTTTGCTTGGGTGTTCTGTTCACTGTATAATTCTTCAACTATCTGAAATGCAATGCAAGGCTTATTGGTTCTTGAGTTCATACTGTTCATGTTTTGTTGGGCAACTAAACATTATAAAGTGCATATTTGATTCATTTTTCTCATTTTTATCTTTTTGATCTTTTCTGGGGTGGGGGGAGGAATATTGGGACGTGGATGTCTAACCTTGGTCCTCTCATCATCTGATCCCCTAGGTAGAACGTAAGAACTGTTTGAAACAGGGCACGACCCTTCTTTTTGACCGGACAATTGGATGTGCGAATCTTGCTCTACCACTCCCTTTCTTTTTAAAGAAAGAACTCTGGTGAATGGCTAAGAGGAAGTGATTTTCTGGTCGGAAAAAAATGCATTTCCTTATAGAGAATGGCTAGGAAGAGGTTTCCACGTTCTTACAGAGAATGCTTTGTTCTCCTTCCCAACCAACGTGGGATCTCCTCATCCGGGATTCCACTTGTATTCCACTTGTAGGCCACAAAGCATTGTTGCCATCCAATAGATGCATGTCAATTCTACAAGCAGAGCATGTAATGAGCTGCTGCAGCTCCTACAGAATGATGGAGCAGCTTTCAGGTAATACGCAGTTCCTCCTCCTTTTGCAGCATATCAATCAAAGGTTCTTACAGCGAGTTTGTGGCTGTCAATGCAACGAGTTAGTGGATTTCATTACTTCTTGAGGAGATCCTTAGAAGTCTGCTTGCTATGCAAGAGCTTGAGAGTGTATATCATGTGTACGTTAATGACTACAACGCTCGCATCGTTTGAGGTATCGAAATATGCTTATGTTATCTCTATTTACAGTGTAAAGTAGTCGTCGTATTAGATGCTAAATCCAAAAAATTGGATAAAATATAGCTTCCTCCGAGCCTGATATCTTCAATGAGAGATACAACAACATAAATTCTATCCTAAGTTGCCCCAAATGAAAGATGAGCTAACTAACATTAATTGAGTATGGTTTTATAGGAATCAATCGTTCATGGCTCCACATTATCCCTGAAATATGGGTAAAGGCAAAATGTGAGAGCTTTTTTATCTTTTAATGTTATTTTTTAAAATTGTAGGTTTAGGTAGGAAGCTTTGTCATTTCTTGCATGACAGTGTAAGCATCCTTTAGCAATGGTCCCATCTTGAAAGCAACGAAAATAGCCTGCCCAGTTTCATCTACTTTCTCTTCAGTGCCTAAAACCCTTCTTTCTAATAAAAAATCTTCAAACCAAAACCAGAAGAAAAACCCTCGTTTCTAATAAGAAATCAGCGAGGTTTGTCCCATCTTAGGAGAAAAAGGCATCCAAACAAGATACCCTTCAAAAGTTATTATACCATTAGCTGTAAACATGGATCAAAAAGACACTAAAAACATCATATCTTTGCAGAGAGAGAGAGAGAGAATATGAACAAGAATGGCAGAGGCAACTTAGGAAGGTGCTGTTGTTTCTCTGTCTCCTATGGTTTTGACATGTTCATATGCATGAGATGAGAATGCCACAGCCTACAAACAAAATCTGCCTTATCTGTTTCAGTTTACAGATTAGCAACTTGCAGGGGGGTTTGAGATATGTGGCATAATTTGTGTGGTGAAATTCAGTGACCAAAAGCTTAACAAAAAGTAAAAAAATTACTTCCTGTTCTTCTTTTCTTTGCTGCCACGTAAAAGAGAACTCAAGCCAAAGATTTTTGAAGTTTCTTTGGTGATATAAGGAGGTGGTACGTTCAAAATGGGGTTTACATAAAGATTGTTGCCATATAACCCTCCTTGATTCTTCTTCTGAGGCTTTTGGAGCTTTGAATGTGAATTTGCAGCAGAGCTTGAAGAGGGTAACTTTGACTTGCCCTCTGAAACTGAATGGTGTCTCTGCAGCTGAGGACTCTGGCTTTTCACATCCTTCGATGGCATTCCTTTTGGGATTTGCACTGAACCAGTTGAATAGCTTCGTGACAGTAATGGTAGCGAGAAAAATGAACTCTTTCTATTGTCATAAGTAACACTGTTACTTCTTCGGAAACCCCAGAAAGATTTGGACCGATTTTTCTTCTCAGAATCAGAATTCATGACATGAATTGGTTCCTCTGTGTTCACTTTCTTGAAATTCTCAGTGGCTACAGCAGGAGGAAGAGGAGGGAGTGAGGAAGGAAAACATGGCGCACTCTCACGTTGATGGGTTCGTTTAATTTGCACAAATTTCTGCTGATTCTGAGTGGGAACGATGACGCCATTGAAGAAGAGCTCGTCAGCAGAAGAGGACTCATAATCAAAGCTACCACTGACACAAAATTCGAATTCCGAATTCGAATCTAACAGCGATATGTCTGTACTAGGAGATTCACGCGGCTGGATGGGCAACATCTCTGAAAGAACAAGCTCATTTGACAGTGAAATTCAAGGCGAACATTTTGTCGAACACGTGATGGGCACTAAACTTCTACAAAAACTTCCAGTCAAAAACGTCAGGGGAAAGCATAAATTTACATATAAAGCGAGAAGAAACACAAAGAAATGGTCGAAAACTGAGAGAATCAAAGCATTGGGTATTGAAAATCAGAGGACAGAGAGAAAAACAAAAACCAAAGCGACAGTTGTGGGGGATCGAAGAGGCCGAAAATGATGAGAAATTGCAGAGTTCAGAGATGGAATGTTCTTCCGAAAAGAAAATGAAGAGAGAAACAGAAAAGGAGAGATCGTTTTCAGACGCTGCCAGAGAAAAACGAAACGAAACAAAACAAAAAGGCGAAGCAATAATTGACGAAACTGCAATTTTCGAGGCAAAGAAGAGAGAGAGAGAAGGGTCCTGTTAATGAAGTGGGGAAGGTTCTTCAAAAGAGGCGTTATTATCACCGACGAAGACGAAGAAATAATGCAAAGTCACCTCGTCGGCCATGGCTACTGAGATTTGAGAACTTGATTCGATTCTCTTTCAAAAAAAACTTATCAAGTTTGAATCTTTTTATCATGGAGTTGTTTCAGCAGTTGCGGTTGCTGCGAAGTACAAATTAATCGATTATCCAGTAATTATATGGTTTCCAAATTTTTGTTTTGGAAGTTTTTCTTTCCCTTAAAACACACCCAATCAAAAATTCTAATCTTTTTAAATAATTTAGTTTTAAAAAGTAGCTTACCATCGGGTTGTAACCATATTTTCGAGTGGGTCGAGTTTACCCTTTCATAATTTTCAAAAATTCAATATAGACCTAATAAAAAAAAAAATTATAACCTTGGGCAAAAGGTCGAATTTACCCTTTCAATTTTTTCAAAAATTCAATACAAATCTAATAAAAAAAATTATAACCCCCGAAAAAAGCTATAAATAGTCGAATAATTTGATGTGAATGAACAGTGGCACGAGTAAAATAAAATAATGCGACATTTATTTAGTCTACTGCAAAATTTGTCCTTGTAAGTTTTGTTTCACTACATTATGAAAATAATTTAATAGGTGGACCACTACAAAATTTGAATCCCAATTTTTGGGTAACCCCCATTCAATAATTGTTCCATAAAACTCATATTTTATTTCACTTTTCTATTTATTTGTGGGAGTTTCACCCTCTCATCCCAAATAATAATAATAAATAAATAAATAACAAAAAGTAACCATTTAATTTGCCTCATTTTGTTTTTGTTTCATCCCTTCCTACCAAAATGGTAATAATAATAATAATAATAATAATAATAATAATAATAATAATAATAATAATAATAATAATAATAATAATAATAATAATAATAATAATAATAATAATAGAATGTTTGCGTATATAAATGTCTTTTTACCTTTTCGGTAAAATTGTTCACATCATACCATACTTGCTTTCCCCTAGGTTTCCGTTAATAGTTAATTTTAAAATATCTCAAATTTTATATTTTATATTTAATAATTATTAAATTTTATATTTAAGTTTAGGGTTTAAGGTTTAGTTGAACTATTAAAATTTTTATTAAAGGCTTATTGTTTATATTTTTCAAGAGTAAAAATTTAATTACTACTTTTTTTTTTAATTTTAGTTCATGTTGGGAATAATTTTTTTAAAAAATACACATTAAGAAATTCAATTATTTAACATTTATTAAAGTTTCGTGTGAATTGAAATATATTTGACCCTTGACTAGTTTTTCTTTATTTTTTATTTTTTAAATGGATTTGTTACTTTATTTTTATTTATTATTATTGTGTCATCTGTTTATTTATTTTTTATGCTTTTTTTCTTTTTCTCACCTTTTTCTTTCAACCGCTCCTTTTCACCCCTTTTTTAAGCAATAAAAGGGAAAAAGTAAGTCCAAAAATATATTAAAAAAGGAAATTTTTATATCTTATTTTATTTCATTTGACCATTTCAATATAAAATATAATTCATAAATTACTTCATTTTTTTATGTCAACAAATGTATGTCTTTTTCTTTGTCTGTATATTAATTGTGAATTTTTTTTTATACATTTTCCTTTCTTAAAAAAACAACCTTTTAATAAATGAGGCTTTCACCTATATTATTAAATGTAAATGTGTCATTTTTGGTCTTCAAAATATATAAATATCATTTTCTAATTATAGTATTAAGCTCTTTATTTATTCTACCAACTCTACTTTTTAATATTTATGATGTCATTAAAATTCTCAACTCTTCAATAAATGTCATTCTATATATATATATATATATATGGATTTTGTAATAAAATATTGTTCCCTTTGCTAAATTCAATTCTCAACATAGTATTGTAAAAAAAAATATTGAATAAATTATGAGCAAAATTAATTAAAATAAAAATAATTTAAAGGTCGAATTTCGTCGTTCAATTGTTAAAGAATATGTTTTAGAGTAATATAATTATTATTATTTATTTTTTTTCTTTTCTGTTTTCTAAATCTAAAAAAAGTTGAGACGGAGAAGAATTCTGAAGTCCCCGTTGGTCTCCGTCGGAAGTGCGAGTCCTCTTTCATGTTCTTCCTTCTAAAGGCTGATCACTGATCCAAATCAACACTCTCTCCCCCGCCGAGCAACGAACGAAGCGGCATTATCAATCTATTCCCTGTTTGTAGATCTCAGTCTTATCAGGCAAGTCGAGTTTTGGATTTCTCTTTATTAGTTGAATTTTTCTAATTCCTCGAAATGAAATCTAGTTGGAGCTTAAGCACTGCTGCAATCACGAGCAAATTGTGTTTCCGATCACTGTTTCTGTTTCTACAGTTGTTATACTAGCAGCATCTCTCTTTTTTGCTCCTTTAATCTATTGGATTGTTGGAGATATTTGAATTATCTGTAAATTTTGTCTGCACTAGTTGTAATAAGTTGGTGTACGTTCAATCTGGAGAGTAGAAAATACTTTATTAGCATTCTATTTCAATAACCAGGGGAAGTTTAGTAAATTAGCTTCAAATTTTCACTTCAAAAGCGGTGCTATAGTTTTTCGTTCATTTCTGAGGTTAGCTCTGAATCAGTCTCATTATTTCCAGGTTAGTTCTGAATCAGTCTGATTGTTGAGTAAAAACCAGTAATTAACCTCATCTATGATGTGATGCTGTACTATTTTGGATATTTAAGCCCTTGGACACTGCAAGGATTATCATCTTATTGACATGCTTCGTGGCTTCAAGACAATTAATGTTCATCAGTTTATTTCTCCGTCTTTCTTGGTCTTGCATAGAAATGTATACTTCCCTTTTTATCATCTGTCGGAGACTTTTGCGAAAATTTATTTAATATGCGATTCTCATGTCTAGATTAATCATCTCACCATTACTATGTCACTTTCTGAAGTGTAGAAATGGAACCATTAAGGGGGTGTCTATGTCGCATTTGTTCTTTCCAAATAGAGTTTTGATGTGCATGTTTCTAAATTTATGATCATGTATACTTGGAGAAACCAGATAAGTGGTTACACGCCTATTGAGCTGATTCAAGTAGCAATACAACCACCTGAGCAGTGAGAAATTTAATGTCTTAGGTACTTAAATATCAAAATATTGCTAATGCAGAACCTTAGTGAATCTAGGTTGGTTTAATTTCCGAGTTCCTGGTTGGTTGGTGTTCACCAAGATGAGAAAATTGTCGGTAGTCAGTGTAATCCTGATGTACTTAACTGCTCAAGTTTCCAGGTAGAAGGAATCCAGGTTCCTGCAGATGAAGGTGGTGCTACACAAACACACGGTGGCGTGTATTGGTGGATCTTGCCAGCTGAATGTCTCTCTCTTTTTCTTGCACACACACATTCTACTTTGATGGTAGAATAGCCGCAGGATGCTTCCTTGTTTCTCTTTTTATACTGTTCAATGCATTGGTTTCAGCAGCTGGTTGGGCAATTATGTTCTTATTAGAACTTGGTTTCAAGGCAAAGTTGCTATGAATAATCATCTCGAACTGCCCTTGAAGTTTAATTTTAGATCTCTCACTTGATCTGCCACTAGTTCACCCATCTTTCTAGGTTCACTCTGTTCAAATTCTGGTTTCCAGGCCAGCCTTTTAATACTTGTCATGTCTACATCTCCATTTTAGAGCATCTTTTCGAGGGTTTTTTGTTGACTAAAATCACTTATGTCATGTCTAAAACCACTAAAAAGAGCATGACCAGAAAGATTTTTGTCATTCCAAAATCACTTCTAGGTATACCCAAAGTATAATATATGTCCTTGATTGGGAGTGGGATCAAAGCCCACATGGTTTTGTTTGTGAATATCCAAAAAACTTCAAAACATCTTATCTATCTTCTCAAATTCTAACCAATTTGAGACTTTTGTAGTACACATTATTTAACCTAGGAAGAGAAATCAATAGATGTTTATCTTCTAGGTTGACAACTTCCTAGAATATCTGCTCCATTTAGGCCGTCAAGTTTTCCCCTCAATTTTGCCCGCCTATAGTTAGTTGGGAATATGCTGAACTTATTGATTTCTCTATACGGCCATTTGCAGTGGGCTATGGATCAGTGAGAGTTGTGCTTGATAAATGTTATTGTGGCTGATGCAGGCAATAATACAAATGTTATCCTCATCTTCTGCTTTTAAGATTCATCATATCTCTTGGTGTTCTCTGGGTCTTGTAAGAACAACGAAAGTGCGTGTCATTCGTTACGTAATCCTTATTTTTTTTTTTTTCCTTTTACATCGCTCGAGAATCTCTTTCGTGTTTATGCTGAAGTTCATTGTTTACCTCATTCGAAATGAGGGGATGGAGTGAAAGACTGGCCAATCTATTTACTAAAACTGCAGGTGTAGTGAACAGCCTTTTTCTCAGTTTACGGTATACCTTCAAAAGTGTCATGTCACTCCATCAATTTACACTGCTGTGTCAATTGTGTTGAATTGTGTTGAATTGTGTCAGTCAATTTCTCTTCAGGTATTTATGATGATCTAAAATCCCAAAGAGGTCACTCAATGATGCCGAAAATTTTGCTGTAGTGTGTCCTTGCTTGTGTAACAGTGTCGGATGAGTTTAAATGAGTCGCCAAAACACTAACTCCGTATCTTCAACTTGTATTCTTGAAACGAGATGATATAATTGCGTATGGATTGCCGGGGTTTTACATCAATCTTTCTTTGTGGAGCTATGTACTTTGGTCTCCTGATCTTGTCTCAAAGTTTTTCTTCCCTTAAACATCCATTGATTTCCCAGATGCTTAACGCAATGCTTGTTTTTGCGGCTTCTCTGTCAGGTTCGTATTTATAGTGTCGATGAACAACCCCAATAATTCTTTGGATGTCTGTAAAGGGAATGGACGTACTTGGGGAACTCTGTTTTCTTCTCTTACAACCCTAATAAAATAGAGTAAGTTGTCTGGTCCCAAATGAAACCGACCATCGTAGAAGAGACCTCTAAAGATCATGAAGTTAGTAGCCCCAAAAATCCAAGTTGAATGTCCATTTTTATAGGTTTGGTTTAGATGACCTCAAGCTACAATCACTTTATTAAATTTCATATTCACGACCCAAATACAAATTACAAATCAAAAACACAGAGGGCACTTCATGAAAATACATCATAAGTTGAAATCAAGAGATCAAATGTTCTCAAATATTGTGAATATGAATATATGAGTTGATGATAGGGAGGCACGGCAAATATAAGATTTTAGTTATATATAAAAAGTTGATGGAACGTTACTAAAACCAGAAACTTAATCCGATGTGATAAAGTATAGTTCAAGTTCACAGATTCAAAAAACGACGTCTCAAAAATCTATCACTTGAAATCAAAATTGAAAAGCTCCCACCTGATTGCAACCCTATGGTGAATAAACATTTGAGAAAGTGGGCAACACATGAGTGTCCATCTTAAGCTTCAGTAATTGGGTACTCAAAAACAACGTCTTTCCCAGATAGCTTCCTGTAAACTGCAGCGAAGCTTTCCAATTTGTATTCGGTGTTATTCCGTTCTTTAGGATCCAAGAGGACCTGTAAAATTTCGAGAAAATGAGGCAACTAAATACAAATTGATACTTCTCAAAATATTAGTTGCAGGGTGTTAACGTTAATCATCGCGTGGCTTTGGTGGCCAAAAAATATTTTAACATCATTTGATCTTCTCAATAATATGGCAACGCATCTAAGAAACGAGTGCAAAATTTAATAAGAGAATGTAATCACCTTCATTATCTTTGTTCCATCAACTCTGTATCTAACACGCTTTCCAACAATCTCGGCAGGCAACACAACATCCTCAAGCATTGCCTCATGCACGGATGTGAGGGTACGGCTACGGGGCCTCTGTGCGGCTGATCCTTTCTTTGGAGGCCTCAATATCCTTCTAGTAGCAATCAGAATCACATCCTATCATAGAACTATGGTTTATGAAAAAATAGAGAATGGAACTACAGAGTCAATAAATGTGCACAATACAATATTGACGATAGATTAGCTCTTGCGTTTGATAAAATGGCTGTAAGACTACAATAAGTTTACCTTAAAAAATATAGTTCACTAATTTATTTAATACCAAAAGACCGAGTGTTGGTAACCTAATCCATTAGATATACGAAACCAAACTGTTGGCTATAATAAATAAGAAGATAAGAATGGTCGTCATTACATTTTAATGATTTGAATCCATTCCTTCTAATTAATAGCAAGCAAGCATACATATGATCCACCCCCCCCCCCCCCCNCCCCCCCCCCCGGATCAAATATCAGTGCTATTGATTGTGTACTTTTATTGATCATTCCCCAAAGAGATATGAACACCAAACTTGTTTGACTCCCTGATTATGACTTTGGTTCAGATATTTAATTCTGCCGAGGATTCTACTAGATATAATCAATGTAATCAACCACCACTTCTGCTAACTGGATATATCGGTATTAGGTAGTCACCAGAAAACAACCAACCAGAGAAATCAAAAGATAATTATATCAAAAAAGTAGCATCTCCCCACCTTTCCACTGAATTTCTTTTCAAGCTCTCTAACAAGCCTCAGGTGAATTTTGCGGAAGGCCTTCCTCAATCTGTATGGGACATAGACCACAACTGCCTTGCGATTACCAGAAACATCGACTTGACTGCAAGAACAGTATGAAATTTATATTCATAAGAAAAAAACATAAACTCTAAAAAAAAAAAATATGCATTCTATCCACCATTCCTTCTTACATTGCAGAATTAATGTAAAGGTCCTTCAGGTCACTTTTAAGCTCGGAGTTGGTGTTTTCCAAATCAAACAATGCCTAAATAGACAAAGAACAAATATCAGTTCAGAAAACGAACAAACTAGCAAGGTTGGCAATCAGCAGACATCTTAGAAGTCACCTGAGCAACAGATTCCTCAAATTCTGAGGGATCAGCATCCTTATCCTTATGGATCTTCTTCCTCGCCGTAAACATCTTTACGAATCAAGCTACAAGTCATGAAACACAAACACCTTCAAACGAGATTTTCGTTTAACTTCGAAGTTCCGTAGGGAAAAAAATAAAACATAAATTTCCTACAAACAATGACCTTCGAGATTAATCTCATAAATTCATAAAACAATAAACTCTAAGTTAGCTATGAACAATTACACAATAGTGATTAGAGAATCCATTAAGCAGTTAAATCTTCCAAATGAAGAAACAATCTTCACCAAATCCAATTTTCGCGATTATTCGTACTCAAGTAATGTCAACCAACAAAATCGCATAACGAAAAAGATACACGGCGCAGAGAATTTGATTTGTATGGCGAATTAAATGTTAAGATTAAGAGTTATGAAGATTCAAACCTGTAGAAACGCAGGAAGGATAAGAGGAAGGGAACTTCCAACCGAGTGTGAGGAACTAAAAACCCTAGAAAACCCAAGGACTTGTTAGTGTGCGAGGATGGGTATATAAATGAACCGATCTGAACGGTTGAGATGACTACTGAAAAAAAAAAATCATCGGCCCAAAGCGGCGAAATTATAAAAATAATTAATTTATTAAATCTTAATTAGCTACGTGAATTTATGAACGTAAGGCCCATTTAAATTGGGCCTTCGGGCCCAAATATATTTTTGATACTGGACCTTCTGGTCTCCCAGTGGGCCAAGCTATTAGGGTGGATATGTCCGCAAGGTGGCAGAGAAGCATTCTCATTCCCATTTTATTCCCACTTTAATAAAAAAAAAATCATTTATTATTGAGTGTCCCCATTTTTTTAAATATATACATATATTCGTTTTAAATAAAAATTTTATTTTTTCAACATAATTTCTACTAAAATAATAAAATATTTTAATAAATCTAATGATATTTATAAATATCATATAATATTCAACGTCATTTAAAAAAAAAAACAAATTTCAATAATATATATTTATATATAGAAAAGTCCATCAATGAACCAATAATACAATCATCATCATCGTTCTCTGTCTTAATTTTCTTTTAAATAGGGATTCTCTCGTTTTATTTAAAGTGAGTCCCCATAAAATTTTGACCTCGCAAATTAAATAAATACTTTTAATTAAATACATATAAGTATTAAAATTAAACCGTGCCACTCGAAGTCTCCAACCTAAATTCATTAGAGTTTAGACATGGTAGCATTAAAATGGAATCTTAGCAAGAATATTCGGATCTTCCATTCAATGGTATTTGACCGTTGCAATGATATGAAATTCGTTTTAATATATACTTTTAAGACTTTGATGAGTCATGAACTAGTGAGGAGAAAAATAAAGATATTTAATTTAGTTGGTAGGAATATGATGGATGAGTTTGGTATTTCACAAATCTTGACCAGTCAAACCGAATAATTGTAACAAAATGCTGTTTTAATCATGATTGATGGCTTCAACTGCGATGTAATTAATTAATTAATTAATGCTTACATAGCCGCCATTTCTAGAATACTCTACTACACTACGCTTGTCTTAACCATAAATAATTTGTAAGCTTGCTCCTTTTATTGCCCAAATTCAATGTAACCTACTTTATCTTTAATATATATATATATATATATATAGCTATATGTTATTAAATCTACATTTAGCTTTAATGAGTATAAATCGTATAATTAAATTATACTATGTTATTGAAGCAACTGATGATAATTGAATTCTACAACCTCAATTGCTATTCTACCGTCTGTATTAATTGTGATTTTACTGTTAATAATTATCGCTATTACTGTTATGGATCATCTATTATTAAATTATAACATTATTAAATTGACGCAGAAAAATCAAACAAATTTATTTATAAAAATATTTTTTTGAAAAAAAATGTAATTTTTGATGTGAAAGAAAGAAGGGGAGAGACCCGATTCTACGTATGGATCCACTTAGGACAACACATTAATGAGTTTAGAAAATGATTGCCGCCGACGGCATCGGGAGATGGCGCTCGCTGTCGTCTCCAAATTTCCTTATTGACTTCCGCCCTTTATTTATTTATTTATTATAATATCTTTAATTTCATTACGTCATCTTTTCCTCGAGTTCATACTTCTCTTGCACACCAGCTCTATATTTTTTTATCACTCTGGATCATATTCTTATTCTTTCTTTAATAAAAAATTAAATATTCTCCTTTATAAATATGTCACGCATTATGTAATGTATATTGTGATTTTCTCGTCACATCACATCATACAATCTATAGAAAATTCTATGTTCAAAACTATATATTAAAAATTCAATGACGTATTTCTTTATTTTGAATTAAATTTCTTTGAAATTTCTTAAGAGTTTTGGTTTTCTCTTCAATATTATTCATTTAAAAATTTTAACTTTTTTTTTTTTTTTTTTGTCAATAATGGTCAAGAATTTGCTTAAAATTGAAGCTACCCAGATTTAGAAAGTAGTCAAATTGAAAACAAATTGCATTATTATTATTTATTTATTTTTGTGGAAAAGAGAATTCCATAAAAAGAACTTTATAGATGCTTTGAATAGTATGAAGGAAAAAAGTAATCAAACTAGAATCACCCATCCTTTTAGTGACAGTGATGCGTGGGGTGAAATATATTAAAATGTTATGATTTTGAAATGGGTGATGATATTCAAAACTATATTTATAAAAAATAGTATGATTGTGAACGTTCACATCAATTATCACTAAAAATAAATATTA